GCGAAAATAAGATAGGTTTTCACACCTACTCTTTGCCCGAAGAACGCAAACTTCGGGTAGTTATCAAGGGCGTCCCCAAAGAGTCGGATGTCGACAAGGCGAAAACCGACATCCGCACTCAGGGATACCCTGTGCATGCCGTCCGACGCCTCAGACACCCCAGAACCCGTGTCCCTATGGACATGGTGATGGTTGAACTTGACCCTACCCCGGAAGGTAAGGCCATCTTCAACCTGAAGAGGGTCTGTGGGCTCAGCGACCTCGTGATCGAGCCCCCGCGAAGATCGGGAGTTGTGGCGCAGTGCCACAACTGCCAACACTATGGCCACACGGCTAATAATTGTTTCGCTCACCCTAGGTGCGTCAAATGCACCGGTGACCACGGTACGCCCGATTGTACACGGCCAAAAGACTGCGCAGATCCACCGGACTGCGTTAACTGTCATACCACCGGCCACCCGGCTAGCTACAGGGGCTGCGCTAAGGCCCCAAAAACTCCCCCGCGAGAAAAGCTCCCGCGAAATCTATTTTGCCCAAACCCGCGCCCGTGAAATACGTTCCCGCGCCCGTACCCGTCGTAAACGCCTGGGCGAAAACCCCAGGTGGCCACGCAGGTAGTTGCGCCCCCGGTCGCCTCACGACCAATCGCTCAATCGCAGCCCGCCTATCAAACGGCGCCGACGCCGCAGGTGCAGTCGACACCGTCGGTTTTCGCCGAAAACAAGGACGATCCGTTCGCCCAAATTGCCAACATCTGCGCCTTATTAGACCGCATTAATAGACAAGAACTTGCCGTATTGTCCGCTAAAATAGCGGCCGCCACATCTGGCAACGCGCGATTTAAAGCCATTAGCGAACATAAAATGCTTGTAGAAGCCCTCTGGGCATTTACAAGCCAACCATAAACTTAATAGTCCGCGCAATAAAACCGCGCTCCGCCGCGTCGTTAGTTAGAACTCATAAAAAACTTTAATGGGAAGTACAACCGCAGGTAGAACAAAACCTCGGGCTCTGGTTGTTTCGTATTTCAACGCAAACGGCATAAAGGGTCAAAGGGACGAAATCGCGGAATTCCTTCGCGATTATAACATAGATATATTTTTTCTAGTGCAAGAGACATTCTTAAAACCGAGTGTACGCGATCCCAGAATCGCAAACTACAACATAGTCCGCCACGACCGGTTAGCAAACCGTCTGGGAGGCACCTTAATTTATTACAAACGGTCCTTGCACTGTAGCCCGCTCGACATTCCAGAGCTAAGCCATTTAGAGGCATCCGCGTGTAGGTTAGCGCTCACCGGCCACAGGCCGCTTGTACTAGTCTCAGCCTACCTCTCGGGGAACAAAACCTTATTACAAAGCGACCTAGATACGCTACTCAACTTAGGCCCTTCCGTGATAATTGCAGGAGATCTAAACTGCAAACACGGCTCATGGGACATCCACAGCATCCCAAATAACAACGGAAAGCATCTCTTTAGCTTATCCGATAATTTAAACTTTAGCATAATTGCTCCTGCGACTCCCACTAGGTATCCTACGGTCGACAACTACCAACACGCGACACCGAGTATCCTAGATATCATGTTACTCAAGGAGGTCTCGCTCGACATCGAGTCGATAGAGACAATCCATGAATTAGACTCAGATCACAGGCCCGTCCTGTGTAAACTGGGCCAGAACACCGGCGCGGTCCCTCCGACCAAATCCGTAGTGGACTGGCATCGTCTTGAGGTCAAACTCAAGGCCTTGGACCCCCAGGACTTAGTCGACCTACCAGAGACGATAGCTACGTTCGATGACGCAAATCGAGCGATAGCAAGTCTCCGAGAAACCATCACTTCCACAGTCGCAGACTCGGAACGGACGGTTAAACTGTCGGGCGATCGACGGTTTAACTTTCCGCCCGACCTGCGACTCCTAATTAGGCAGAAAAATGCAGCCAAACGCGCTTTCGACCGATACCGATCGGAATCGAACCGAACCCTACTTCGACGCCTTCAGCTAGAAGTCAAAGATCGTGTATCGGAACACCGACATACAACGTGGGACACTCTCCTAGAGGACATCGAGCCATCGCACACCGCCTACTGGCGGTTGGTCCGCAGTCTGAAAGCAGACCCCCGCGAATCTCTACCGCCGTTAGTTAGACCTAATAGCGCTTCAGTAGCCCTAGATGACTCCGAAAAAGCCGAATGCCTTGCGGAGAACCTAGAGCAGCAATGTACGCCATCGCGCGAACACATCGATACAGCCCACCTAACGGAGGTGGACCGCGTAATCGAGATTAGGGCTGCGCTTCCACCGGAAGGCGATCCTTTGAATTCAGTGACCCCCGAAGAGGTTCAAGATATTATTAAAAACTTAAAACCCAAATCCGCCCCGGGCCCAGATAATATTAGTAACAAAATTCTTAAAGCTCTCCCTGGGCCGCTTATCTGTTTACTGGCGACCATTTACAATACTTTACTCTACAGTTGCTCCTTTCCAGACGACTGGAAAGAAGCCAGGGTTATCGGCATTCGCAAGCCTAATAAACCAGCCAACCAGCCCTCTAGTTATCGTCCCATCAGCCTCCTCAGTTGCCTGGGGAAGCTCTACGAGCGGCTTTTATTAAACAGGCTCAATGAGCACGTGTTTTCCAACGGCCTTCTGCCGGCGGAACAATTCGGCTTTCGAGCTAGACATTCCTGTCCCGATCAACTATTCCGGCTAACGGAACATATCCTAAAAGGCCTAAATCACCCTAAACATATTAGTACAGGGGCTCTTTTCTTCGATGTCGCAAAAGCATTCGACAAGGTCTGGCACAACGGCTTGCTTTACAAGCTGTACACACTCAAAGTGCCAGATAGGCTCGTACACACCATCCAGGCCTTCCTGTCGAACCGCTCTTTTCGATATCGAGTTGAAAGCACCCTCTCCACAAGCCGCCGCCTCACGGCCGGCGTACCACAAGGCTCCTGCCTCTCACCTTTGCTCTTTACGCTCTACACGAGCGATATACCTAAAGACCCCCACGTCAATCTCGCGCTTTTCGCGGATGACACGGCGCTCTTTTTTATTCAGACCGCAACCTTAGACAACTAACCACTCGACTCCAAAGCGCTGCCGACCGCCTCGGCGATTGGTTCCGCAAATGGAGAATAGAAATAAATCCCGAAAAGAGTGTGGCGATTCACTTCACACGAAGTACTTACCCGTCACATCTTTACAATGGCCCTCGTCAATGCAGAAAGTTGGGGCAAATATCCCTTTATGGCCAACCGCTCCCCTGGGAGAAAAAGGTCAAATACTTAGGAGTCACTTTCGACTCGCGTATGTCATTTACTACGCACATTAATAACGTTAGCAATAGAGCCGCGTTCGTCTCCGGTCGGCTACACAATTTAACTAACGTTAAAAGTAAAATGCCCTTAAGGCACAAATTATTATTATATAAGACCTGCGTACGACCTATTATGTCTTACGCATGCATGACCTTCGCCCACACGCACCCTACTCGCTTGTACAAGTTGCAAATAGTACAAAATAAGTTCATCCGCCGCGCAACCGGTGCGCAGTGGTATCAACGCAACGTCGACCGACAACTCCCGACGATTCGCGAATATTTTAAAGACCTGACCAAACGGTTCTTCGATAGAGCCGAACATCATCCCAACCCTCTGGTGGTAAGCGCAGCAAATTACCAACCCGACAAAAACGCGAACGTCAACAAGCGTCGCCCGCGAAACGTCCTAATCGACCCGGTCGAGGAAGGGGACTTAGACACGCCGGACCCACTGCCGGGGGTCCCGCCGGACAACACTACACCCACAGTTAGTGCAACAACAAACACACTAGTTCGCCCTCGCCTCCGAGCACGGCGAGACCAACACAACGCGTACACAAGGTACACCCGCGTTCCGGGGCGGTTCTCACCGCCCCCAGCCATCGATTAGCTAATTGCACAGTCGACGGCCATCGAGGTTTCGGTCCGAACCACGACCTCGATGGCCCTTAGATGACACACACCATAGTTAAACGCACGCATGAGCACATGCGTGGCCCTACCCACAGCGGAGGGCCCAAACCCGTGGGTTCTGGCTAGCCCACCGGTTCTGCGTCAGATGAAGCTTTAATAGTCTCGGGACTGAAAGCAAAAACATCAGTTAATACAAGATACAAGAAGACTATTTTTCTATAACGTATTATATTTCCAATAACGAAATATTTTATCCCCTGTGCTAGTTTATACACACATGCCACATTAAATGCATGGGGCCTATGGGCTTTTATTCGCATGGGGCATAGGCCCCTATGTCGCACGGTACCGATTTAGCCGCTAGGCCTAAGTAAGTAACTTCGTTTCGATATATAAAGATTACGAAAAAATAACGTGTGATTTTATTCATTAAAAATTTTAATCAATGCGAATTAAGTTATTCAATTTGAATTTAAAAAGGGTATGAATTAGTATCGTCGGCATTACGTCAGCTTAATTCATGGACGCCAGTAAAACAAGCGATACGTTTAACAATAACGATGGACATAACTATAAAATAAAACTTGAATATAATGTTTTTGACCTTTCCTCTTTTCATAACAAGGCCAACACGTAAAATTTATAGAACTAGACAAATATGAAGAAAATGAGAAAATGACGGGGGCCGAAAAGTTTTAAGCAAATACTTGTTGCATTGATAGTTATGAAAAACTGCATTTTTAGTTACTTATAGATTAAAATATGTACGACCAGTTCATGTTCACCTATTGCGGTACCGTCGGGCGCCATCTTAGATTTTTAATGATAAGATCCTGCCGGCAGGACACTTAATAGTTTTCGGACAATTATACCAAAAAGAACACAATGGTGCCAATATTTTATTTACGCTGTGGTAACGCTAATCCAAAATGTGCAAGGATTCTCTCAAAAACCAGAAACATTTTAAGGCAACTTATAAGCTGCAAAATGGAAAATAATTTCCTAAAGGCTTAAACTTCAACGTTTACCTACTCACCTATTTTCCAGCTTTCCTTTTCTTGAATCATGTTCCGTAATTAAAACAAATACACTTCCCTTCCCCAACACACCGCTTGGGAAGTGCTCCAGGTCACGACATCTAATGGCCGCGCCTGTATTGATTTTATTAGGTTCATGCGCAGTAGTGTTGGCAATGTTTCCATTTTTGTTGTGGCGTGGACACAATTACTAACCAAGTAGCATTTTTTATGTTTGCACAAAAGGCATTCGGTAGTCTTTATATAAAATCTTAAACGATAATGCCCATCGATCAATCATGCACTGTATAGTATAATATGTAATAGTTTATAGGTAATATAGGAAAAAAATAATGCATATCTATATCATTATTGAACGATTGACTCAGGCGCGGATCTAGAGATCATGTTTGGAACTCTCGAACATTCAAAAGTGAACAACTATACGAGGTTTACTATGGTTAATGAAAATTAATAATTATCAGCGATGGATATAGGACTAAAGGGACCTAGAACATATTAACTTTAATAAGCGTTTGGACGCATTTCATACTAAATTTTAATTTTTAATTTTTAATTTTTTATTTTAATTTTACCCAATAAATAATAAGCCTTTATTGTTAACATGCTTACACCAATGCTTAAACATTTCACTAATTTGCTTTTCATCTGATATAGATATAAATCGGTTATAGATATATCTTGGTTACAGAAGGACGGTCCTGACCTAGCCAATCTGAAAAGGAGCTTTGGTTATTGACGCCAACTTTAACCGGCTAACGTAAAATTTTTACTAAATCTCTCTTTAGCTCTTGAAAACTGTCCCGACCGAGATAAAAACGTGAGGTAGTGTTTAATATGTCTTTTAATCGGGTTATAATAATGCGTTTGATTTTATAAGCTGACTGCAAACCTATTCGGGGCAAATTTGATCGTTTTCTTCAATGATCTTTAATAATATATGATGTCCATACTGCGCAGCGTTTAAAAAATGTTCTGCTTTCATTATATGGCATATATAATGTGATAGACGATATAATACGTATGATAGGGAAAGAGATAACAGTCTATAGAATTGCAATCTAACTACACCGATTGCTATAATTTGAGTGCCTCAATTTCGGTGCGATAGTGTCATATCTTTGTATATAAAAATCATTGGTTTTTCCAATAACTGCCTTCGATCCATATTTGATCTTTATAAATGTGTATGGCCTTCTACCACCAAACTATTGTGGGATTGGATGGAAAGTGAACTTTCCATTACGTGAATTGGTACCTATACTTCTTATGAAACCACCAATTTACCCGTAAGACTTGGTTTTGGATTTTATTTAATTAATTGGACATAAGTTATTGTTACTAGTGTTGCCGTATAATAAAAAGGCGTAGTCAATTCTGCTACAGATAACAGATATATAAAGACGAAATTTATATTCCACGTGTTCAGGCCGCGAATGACTGCGTGATTCCCACAGCGGCGACAATCTTTTCGTACTTTTTCTATAAATTTTAAAATATAAGGACGTCTTAAATGTTTTCGATGAATACTCCACCCAGGTCCGGATAGGATATTAAATAGGCTTATATATTTACAAATCTTTTGACTTATCTCTGATATGTATTATTTACCGAATAATGGTAAGCGTTTGATTATTCAATATGATATTTAATCACTCCCTGGAGCTGTATCACTTTTGATTGAGCTTTCTAAATCCTATAGACTTATTTCCAACTCTACGGTAAGATTATGTTACAATCCACTAGCAACACTACTTAATATACGAGCAATAACAATTATACTTAATAAACATTGAACCATATCTGGTATAATATTATATAATAAACATAATATTATATTATATAATAAAAAATATATAATTTAATAGTTCAATCTTATTAACTGTATTTGTAATTTAATAAGTGCATTGATTTGTAATGTAGTTGTAATGACTCATTATATTTTTGTATAAAAGCGCATAATGTTTCAGTGATAGGGGCCATCGAAAGGATTAAAAAACTTCGCAAGCACACCAACACAAACCGCACTCGCCGGCGAGTGCGGCAAACATATACCAGGTTCCGCCACGTACCTGGCAGGTTCTCCCCAGTTCAAGATAGAAGCGTTGCTGGAGTTTCTTCCGCCACTTCTTCTCCCAGCGCCAACGCTTTACGAAGTGGTAGTAATGATAGCTCTAGAGATCTAGAGATCCCCCCAGTCAGATAACAGCTACCGATCGAGCCGAGGTCCGGCCCTCTCGGGCACCCTCGAATCGGAATGCTAAACGCGTGCTGAGTGACAGCCCAAGCCGAGGTCCCCTCTCGGGGACCCTTGAGCCAGATCACTCCATGGAGCCCCCGCCAAAGCGCCCTAAGAGCTAGGCGGCCTCCCAAACCGGTGAATTAAATAGCGTGACGGCCCGAGCCGAGGTTCCTTCGGGAGCCCTCGAGCTTAGTCACCATAACGCGTAATAGTAAATACGCGAGGTTCAGGCTAGGCGCCTCGAGCGCCCGGCCACCTCAAGTCCGTCGGATCTGTGAAGGCCCCTAAGGCCAACAGTGGCTCATCCAACCAAAAAAAAAAAAAAAAAAAAAGTGATAGGGTCATATCCGATGGAACTCGACACGCACCAACAGTCGAGGCACCGCACTCGACTCGCTATCCGACAGGCTCGACTTTGAAGTTGTAGCCCCAGTCGAACATACGCACTTCCCTTATACAGAGGGACAATCATCGGATGTGCTTGATATTGCAGTCGTCAAAAACATCAATCTGACCATGCGCGACCCGGAAGTGGTTCACGAGCTTCACTCTGATTACCGACCAGTCCTCCTTCGCCCTAGGGCCCTCAGCAATAGCCGCCCCCCAAACCAAAACAGTCATTAGCTGGCATAGAGTCAAAACTAAACTTAATGAGCCCAATCCAATATTAGAGTCGATCCCCGACCAACACAACAACAAACAGGACACGGAGACCGCAAATCGGGCCCTCACGAGTCACGTCGAGCAATGCTCGAGACAGGTTCCAGCGATGGACGACCATCGCTGGGCCCTGCCAGACGATGTACAAGACTTACTGTGGCGCAAGAATGCGGCCACACGCGCCTGCGATAGATATCCCACCGACTCGAATCGTAGACTGCTACGTAAATTGCAACGTGAAGACAAAACACGTATAGCAGACTCACAAAACGAACGGTGGGACTCCACCCTAGTCTCAATAAAACCGTCCCACCAAGCATCTTCCCAAATCCCTCAAGGGTATTTCCACTCCAAACATGCCACCACTAGTTCGCCCGATAGGAACGCCAGCAATGCTGGACGAAGAGAAAGCCGAATGCCTAGCTGACAGTCTAGAGGCCCAATGCTCCCCCAGCTTGCTTCCGACCCACCCCGATCACCTCCGTAAGGTGAACGAAGAGGTCGAAAGGAAAGCATCGGAACCACTCCGCGATCCCGTTCCCCCGGTCACGTGCTCGGAACTCGCAGAAACAATTAACAAACTGCGCCCACGCAAAGCGCCTGGCTCAGATGGTATCACCAATAAGGTGACCAAACTTCTCCCTACTAGCATCCTTCAGATACTAGTCTTAATTTACAACGCGGCTATAACCGAAGGCTTCTTCCCGTCCGAGTGGAAAGAAGCTGACGTAATAGGGTTCCTCAAACCTCACAAACCCGCGACCCTCCCAACCTCTTATCGTCCAATAAGTCTTCTCAAAACATTTGGGAAGATCTTTGAAAGACTAAGATCCCTTATGGACGCCAAAGGGCTCCCCATCCCTGAACAGTTTGGCTTTAGAGCCAAACATTCTTGTACCCATCAAGTGCACCGCATCACGGAGCACATACTAGTCAAACGCCAACGCGGACTCAACACCGGAGCACTCTTCTTAGACGTGGCAAAGGCCTTCGATAAAGTTTGGCACAACGGGCTCGTATACAAGTTATACGGGTTCGGAGTGCTCGATCGTCTCGTATGCATAATACGAGACTTCCTAAGTAATCGGACCTTTCGCTATCGCGTCGAAGGCGTGTGTTCGACAACGCATCCCGTTCGAGCCGGGGTGCCTCAAGGGTCGGTGTTGGGCCCAGTCCTATTTACGCTCTACACCAATGACATGCCGCGAGTCAAAGATGTAGAACTTGCCCTATTTGCCGACGACACCTGTCTCTATACAGCAGGCAGAACATCCGAAATTATCCATCGACGCCTCCAAGCTGCAGCCATCACCATCGGTGACTGGTTTCGGCAATGGAGGATCGAAATCATTCCCGCCAAGAGCGCGGCCGTCCCTTTTTCACATAAAAACGTAGATAAACCACCCCCCGTTAAACTCATGGATAGTCCGGTACCATGGGTGAACAAAATTAAATATTTAGGTGTCGTCCTTGACTCCCAACTTAGATTCAACCAGCACGTGACTCGGGTCAAGAACCGGGCGGCCTTCGTACTCGGTCGCCTCCATCTGCTCCTCAACAAAACGTCTAAAATGTCCCTTCGGAACAAGGTGAATCTATATAAGGCAGTAGTTCGCCCTATCATGACGTACGCGAGCCCAAACAAAGTTTGGGCTCGCGTGCCAAGTGAAAACGTAAGTTTGTAACTTAAAATAATAGTCTATAATGAATAATGGACGCACAGTAATGACGGATTTCAGTTGTATGAAATTTAAAAACTTTGTTAATTTTTTTCCTCATAATCTAGTGGTTTTCATTGATTATAACTTATATAATATTTAATTATTAACATTTCTCTATTGATTAAATTTTTTTTCTAGCTTGAAAAACAAGACGTACTATTCGGAATATTAGCCCTATATTTCTTGCTGATCTATGGTGTGTTCTGTCAACCTCCCGTACTGACCAAGTCTACGTTGACTCTAAGGCTCATCTTCGCAAACAAAACTCAAACTTTCGCCTTTGCGTTACCCTTCGCTCTCTTAGGACATTCTAACTACACAGTTTATAATCATTAGGTTTACAGATACATTTTTATTATTTTTACGTACGAGCTGTGAAAATACATTACAAAGAGAATGTAATCACTACGTTTACATAAATAATATATATTATTTGTTTTGACAGTTATTATCGCTCTCTGACATTCACTGAAAATTGCGATTAAATTTTTAAGAATAAATAAAAAATCGTAATCCGAATGAACGACTTCCTTGAAAAGTATTCGAGTTGCGCAACTGTTCACGCCTTTTGTGGTGTTAATAATATTGTCCTTAATAATGTGATTTGTTATATTTTCAACTTTGTAATTAAAGAACCTCTTTAAAGCCTTGTACAGGACTTGTTCCAGGGAACATGAAGGCATTTGGGGCCTGAAGACCTGAAGCGTGCGGCTCCTTCCAGTTAGTCCGCCAGTGGAGTGGTGGGTTTGAGAGAGAAAGATATGGTGGCGAAATTGAAAGACACTACATATTCACTAACGATTTTATTAGTTTAATAATACATTTATGTTGATTGGTAATCTCAGATTATACATACTCTTTTGATATCAACTCTGATCTTCTTGGTTTATGTATTATGTTTGAATTACTTTAAATTAAATTTAGAATGTTTGTTGTATTTGTTCAGACTGAATTGTGTCATATTTGATTGATTCCGTAAAAATCACTTGAAGAAGTAACATGTCTAGCTATCTAACATAACTCTTGTATTTTACATAATTTTCATAATCATTACGTTTGGTCTAAAATAAGTTCAAAATGTTGAAGTTCAAATAAATAGCTTTCCTATCAGTCCTTAAGTGTCTTTTTGGTTTGAAAATGATCCCATCAGCCACAGCTACCATTCAAGAATGTACTTACATTTTAAGAATTCTTAGTTTTAATAACGCAATCATTCGTATACATAGACTAGTTCACACACTTAAATTATATAACAGTGATAGGTAAATATGCTAAGATTACATCTCCATAGGCTTATAATATAAACTATAAGTACTTGCAATACCACCAATTTTTAAAGTTAATACAATTTTTAATAAGTGTCATAAATTATTATCGACAACTATTATTTAAATAAGTCCTAAATAATATCTGAAGCCTCTGTTCGCTAAAACTAAATAACGAACGAGTAGTGGGAGCAAAACATAAAAGATACTTGTTAATACCTGTAGCATGCGTGAAGCTATTCGCAGTTTATTCGTATATATTCGCATGGAGTGTAGAGGAAATGTGTACCTATACACTGCTGCCTCTGTATCCTGAACAACCGAGAAATAACAGCCTCTACCTCCCCGACCCCCGCCAAGATGCCCACGCAGACACGTATCGTAGGGCGAAAAATCGATCTAGCTAGGTGTCATTTTTAGAAAATGTCTGCTCTGTCCTCCAGGTACTATACACATGTATCTCTTATATTTATTATTTTCGTATTTTCTTTTTTTAGCTTTTGGTTTAGTTAGACTCCATGATGCATGATACCTTACAAAGTTATTTCTTACCTACTATGACGTCACCATCCGAATCCTTCAACCTCTCAAGATCGAACCTCAGAAACTTATTGGTTACTTACAACAGGGTTTTGTGTGACACCTATAGGTAAAATGCTTGTAAGAAAAAATTCACTCTCCTCACTTATGAAACTTTTTGCGCTCAATTTCATGACAGATCTTATTTTATGCATTGATCTTGGATAAACGCTTGGTGTGCAGTTTATATTATGTTCAAATGGATCTTGAAGACAGATAGCGTTATTTAATTTCAGTGGTTGACACATCTGCCATTTTAAATTAATTTTATATATTTTATATTCTGGTGGAACATTTTCTAAAATTCGAAATGACTCTCTGTTAATTGGACGTCCCAAATACGGACAGATGATGAAATTGGCGTAGTTAAATTCATGGTAATACTTGAAAAATCCGCCAAGTAATTGATACAAAGATTCATTATTTCCACTTGCATGCATATTTTTTTCAAACCCAACATTCCAATAATCTTCCATGTAATATAAATTTTTTTGCAGATGATATATTGATGGCAATATTCCTTTTACCTGAAGGTAAAATATAATTAGAAGAATTAGTGCATAATTTGACATGCAATTCCTCTCAATGAGCTTGTTCACTTTAGCCCAATACTTAATTATGATGGCTAGAAATATGGCTCTGTTGTCCATAGTCAGTAAATATGATAGCAATTTAGAATTTTCAATGCATATTTTACTTTTAAAGTTTATTTCACAGTATCTCTTTGTAGGGGCATGATAAAATTTTACTACTGAAACATTTGCTGCATAGATGATAGTTGTTTCTCTGAATTTTTCTGGCCACTTCGCAAGAGTTGCTTTGGCTTTTACTACATAGTTATCACCACGATTCGGTAGCCAAGTAGGCAAACTGATGTAACAATCTACATTACTGGACTTTATTCCCAGTCCTGTAACAATAGACCCAAATGCCTGGACTTCACAACCTGTAACAATATTGATTGCTTAGAGATAGTCCATAAAAAATAGATGGTAAGTAGATTTAAAAAATATTTCTATTAAATATTAATTATATTAAATAAATAGTGTAATCCTAGTGTTTCGGAATGGGGCTTAACACTAGTTATAGAAAGATTTAACATCTTGAAATAAAAAAAAAAGATGAATAAGTAGTATGTTATCAACATAACTTCAGGAGTTATTTCTATCTACTACAATTAATATAAAAGGATAATACTTTAAATAAACTGCCAATGGTATACCTGGCCAAGCTGTTTGCAATGTATTCTGCAAATCATTAAATAATAGCTGCAAATGTTCCACCTCCGACTTTGAAAGCCTTATAAATTTCAAAATTTCTTGCACTTGCGAGTCAAAATCACTATTCAAGCTTAGCTTGTGTATATCAAATATTATATCTGTAAAAAACATGTTATTATTTCCTTGCAGAAATTAAATGAATTTAAAGTAGTCGAGGGTTAGAAAATAGTTTTACTAGATTAGCAGAGGTGTAATACTACATTAAGAAACAGCCAATAGATGTCCTGCTGCTGGGTAAAGGCCTCTTCAGTTCAGAGGGTAGTAGGATATATTCCACCATATAACCCCACTTAACATATTTTTTTTTATTTTGTTTTTAGTTCAAAATTTGATGGTTTACGGATTTATCGAACTCAACATTTAAGAAGTTAGACCTCGATTACCTCACGGGGGGAGCTGGGCGGCGGTCCGAGCAATTCTTTTATATATATATATATATATATATATATATATATATATATATATATATATATATATATATATATATATAATCGGAATCCCGGAAACGGCTCCAGCGATTTTCATGTAATTTAGTATTTGCGTAGATTCGGGGGCGAAAAATCGATCTGGCTAGGTTTCATTTTTAGAAAATGTCGTTTTATATCAGTTTTCAGGGAATGAAAATATCATTCAAATACGACGGTAAATTTCACCGAAAAGAAAAATGTTATAATAGCTCGGTCGGTAATCGGGCGGCCCGGAAACAGAAGGCCGTGATTCATGTCATGATCATTTACATACTTTTTACTTTTTCTTCGATTCCAGATCATTGCTTTCTTTATTTTTTATTTTTGTCGATCCAGATGATTCTGTTCTTTTCCCTTTTCTTTTAGTTCTTTCTTTTGTGAGAAACACCAGTTCATATTTTCTTATTATTACGTCAATAAAATCGAAAAATACGAACACAGTAATTTGTATCTAAATGTAATTATATCCAAAATACACGATTACCACAAAAAAAAAAAAAACAAACCGAGCAAAGTTCGGTCCTCCAGGTACTACTAATAATGAGAGTAATAAGATTTACGAAAAGGCAACTACAATGACTAATACAACAATGAAAGAAAAATCGGGCATAGCGCTGTGATAAGGTTCCGTACAAAACAAAGAAAAAGTTATTTACAAAGAAACGATAATCTTTTACCAAGATTCAGCTCCATCATTATCTACTATTTAGAAGTGATCTATTGAATTTGATCGGGATAGAGAAAGTATTGAGGATGGCCCCCATGACGGTGAGCCGATTAGTGATAGTAGGTAGGACTAACATATCTGTGGATACTATTCACAGTATCCTTCATGAGCTATCTGAATCTGTCAAATGTCTGCAAGATGGTTGCCGCGAATGCTCACGGCCAAAGAGTACTTTTATATATCTGCTCACGGCGCTTCAGAAACACGTGCGTGTTGCGTGTTGCGAGAAGTTTTTGGAGCTCTGTGGTGATAATCGAATTTCGACTGAATCGTTGCCGGTATCAAACGTGAGTTCACCATGCAGTCTTATAAAAAAGGGACAGACCCACCAAAGAAGTTTAAAGGCCCCTACTTGTTTTGGGTTTTTATCAGAATCTTACTGATTTAGTACACAAACAAGGTGAAAGTATTATTACTGCCGCATTCTACGCAAACACCCTACGACTTCGCATAGGTTCAAATAGGGCACGTTGTCAAGGCGGCTGCGCAGGATCAATCAATCATCCACCCTATAGCCCGAACCTAGCCCCTAGTGATGACTTACATTTTTCAAACCATGAAGAAAAATATTTTTGTGAGTATCAAAAAGTTACTTTCCGCTTAAATAAGTGTATTGAGGTGATAGAGACTAGATGAAAAACTAAATATTATTCAGAATCTTCTGCTTATTCTTTCATGTCTATTCTGAGAAAACACATTGAACTAGCTAATATTATGTTTTGTCCTGCCTTCATTTTATTTATTTTAACTTAATAGCTCCATTGAAATCAATTTCTTTTTAACAAATAAACTTAGGTACTAAAACTAAAAATAACCTTTAAATTTTTTTTAGTATTTTTTTTCTAATCAATTCTTATTTTATTAGTCAAATTAAAATTTCACTTTTATAATTTTAAATAAATAAACATAAACATTATGTACACATAACATAGAAATGTGAAGTGCATAAAAAGCTTGTAAAATTAGGACAGCTCCCTAAACTAGGGGCCTCATTCAGCTCTGCAGGGTTAGTCCGCCCCAGGCCCAACAGACTAAATGTAACATACAAATAGTTCATGTAGGCTGTGGTACTTCAACGACAAACCTGCCGAACCAAGCAACAGCAGAAGCCGCATCTTACTCATACGACTATTTTGCAGGTTTAATTTTATTAAATTTCCTTTACCACTCAGTATGTGATTATGCTACCTAAATTTGCAATTATGATATAAGGGCCACTCCGAATTTGAATTTGTGTGAGCATGGATACTAACCAATGACCTTTTTAATATCTATATAAAACAACAACTGTAAAATTGAAAGAAATTTTACAACAGAATCTTCAAAGGCTGTATTATGTACCCAAAGTAGCTGCAATTCAATTTCTTTCACCAGTAAATAATCAATTATTTCATTACCAAACATTTGAGCAGATATGATACAAAAAATTATGATATGTATAAATTATGTATATGATGTTATTTAAGAAAAGTTGCAGCAATAACTAGTTTTAATTACCCTTTACAGAAACCTTAAAGTGCATTCACATCAAAATTAAAAGTTAATTATTTTTCATAAATTTGTGACAGCAGTGCTTTAATGAAATTATTTTAAAATATTTAACCAAATAATGATTGACCCTGGCAGTCATTATTAGGGAATTACCTTCATTGTCCATTTTAAACACTGGGGATAGTCCTTAAATAGGATATCTGTAACAAAGATGAATAACTTAAGTTATTATGTCTCATCTACCATTTTCGTTTTATCATCATTTAATTTTTATTTTACAAAATTAAATTTTGCTTGAAAATAATGTCACCAACAAAGAAGTCCTAGGGGACCTACAGTGTAATGTTAATAACTATGTGTAGCGGTAACGGGCGGGACCGGAATACTTTTGCCACCTTCCCCGATCAACCTGGTCTATGAGGGCGTAACGCGGACGTGATCTACACTAGGGTGGAGTATTAGCCCTGCTAACGTACGGAGCCGAGACGGGGCGCTAGTTATTGATAATATGATTACAAAGTAAGCGAATGCTTCCCAATTCTATGATTGTGAGAAAAGACTAGACGACTAATGTTTCAGAAATACGTCAAAAAAGCAGTAATAATTTTTTTTTTGTATAGATATAACTATGTTTCATAACTTTTTTTACCGGAGGAACATTCACTTGTGTTTAATATTTAATACCTACTTTTGAAAATTAAGATAAATTTATTCTGTAGGCACCGTCATGGAACTTCATGGAATATTTTCATGAATTTTTTTTTATTTGGAATTATTTATGCAAGAAATCATTAATGCCTAAAAACACTTACCTTTAATAGAAAAACACAATCAAAACTTGATAATCTCACAAAGGAACGTCGGTCATTATAATGAATTTAATAATTACTATCCCAAAATCAGATCATTTAGTTATTACTCAATTCTTATCACGCCAGACCCCATAAATCAATACATCGGCACTTTATTACTCGTCGCACGCAGGCGCGTCAATTAAAAATTGTACCGTAATGCTAGTTCAGAAATGAACTCGAGTAAAAATGGAAAAATATTTCTCTTGAATTAATGATATTGCACTATGTTTTATTAAATAGGAAAAATATTTAACAAGTTTTTATTCAAGTCTATCGTATAATCGTAAACGTAAAGCTGCTCGTACCTTGTAATGAATAAAAATATCGTATAGGCCTGTTAACGCGTATACGTGTGGAGAACACCGGTGGAAACTCTGGAGCACATGTCTGCACACAGTCGGAGGAATGGCATCGGGCCCACTCAACTTGTTAAGGTCCAAGGAAAAAAGTGCTTTGGGAACTGCACCTTGCCGAAATTTTACATCCGGCATCGTAGTATCGCACTGCGGAAATGGTGAGATTCCTCGGTCATCCAAAGTCGAGTTAAATGTGAAAAGAGAGCCCAGAAGATCGCCTTTCTACTTCACGGCATGGGCCAGCGAGTCACCCTCTGTGTGCAGGGATGGAAAAGAAGGCAGAAATTCCCTGAGGCAGCTTATGCGAGAGACCAAAACGTACGTTTTCCCGTGTGCATATCTCTCGCCAATTAAACCAATGTGCCGGAGCACAAGGCTACGAATGTGCCATCCATGTTAATTTCTAAGAGTTTTATCTTATCCTGTGTTGTAAGGATGTTTTACAAACCCAATTTTTACGTGGACAAACATCCAGATGCGAAACAACTATCTGTGGTCACACAAATAGTTGTCCCGTATGGAAATCAAACCCCTACCCCAGACGCCGAAGCCAATACTTTGACAACTGCGCCACGGAGTCATCGAAAATAAATAAATCATTGTCGTAACTACTTCTTCTGAGAACACTTGGCGTCGAAATCTCGAGCAAACTTACTCTCGAACAAATATGCCCTTTATGCGCAAATTCGCCGCACAGGGAGTACTGTTCTCATCTCTTTGCGGGAGCCCCCCATTACCAACATCTCCCATTTGACAGCATCATCGTAGAGCGGCTTCAATTAACGACGATCATAGTCTTTCTGATTTTGCTTCATCCTTTAAATCTGAGTAAAGATGTGGGATCACTGTAAATTCTACCGCATATATCGTAGGAAGTGTTCCGAGAAATTGCTTGGACTGATCCCGGCGGCTGAATTTCATCATCGGACATCGCACCAAAATCATAAATTTCTCCCACACAACCTCGATTTTCAGCGTTCCACAACGGCATGTCCTACCGCGTACCAGCTGACACCGGCAGCCTTTCTCCATAAAAAAAAAAAATACTTTGGTTGGTAATTATTCTTGAGTCTTAGTGCAAGACCCAGCTTAGCACGCATTTGTTGAAAGTGATGTGTCTACTCCAGCATTTTCTCCACAATTGGATGATACCTCCTTGGTTGCTGGGTTCTCATTTTGGTTCGATGGTAGTACTGTGAGAATTTTACGCTTTTTTTAAAGCTGGATGGTGTTGTTCCTGTAGCCGCATAGAACGTAGAAGACTGCAGCGATCACTTTTTTGTTGATCCAATACCATATTTATGTGATTTTAGTGGTTCTACTTCGGATCAACAACTGCTCGTCAATATCTATTTAACAGTACTTAGCTTCAATTTATAAAAATATACCTACTCCATACTTATTTGATCCATTTCAATCACACGAATCACAGATCACAGCAGCGTTTATGGTTGAAATCATCATTTTATACATAAGTAAATACCTACTTATTAAGAAGAAATATTTTATTGACTGAGATGACAATATTATGTACCTACTTTTAAATCACTATTTAATAATTTCTGATTAAACATTTTAGAAAGAAATCTGGGAGAAGAACCTATCTAGATTTAAGAGAGGGCTTGCTCTGGGTAGGATATCTCTAAATAGAAACCTATTATATCGCGTAAATGTGATATTTTCTGAAACATTTGCTTTAAGGGACATTTATATCAAGCGCTCGCGCGCTAGATCCTCGAAAGCACACACGGAGGCAAGTGCTGTATATGAAGCATGGCAAAAATTTCGATCATTGACAAGGAACTTAAAGACGAAATTCGCAATGAAGCATCAATTTGAAGACAAGCTCTTTAGAGATTATTCAACATCATAATTGTTCTTGCAAAGAGTTCTTTGTCTTTAAGAGGGCATCGAGAAGATTTGAGTGAGGAACCACGGAAATTTTGTTTCAATTGTACAAATCATTCCTAATTACGATCCAATCTCGCGTCAAGTTTTAGAGATGTCTAAAAGTAAGAAATGAACTTGTTTGCTAAATATATAATGTATGTTTTCATAATAATTTTTTTCTAGTATATCTTGGGCTTTTGAAATTTAGCGTGAAAATTCGAAACGTATAAAACAACATATTTCACATAATTTAGGATACTTCCGCATCAGCAGAAAGATCTTTCAGTAAATTAAAGATTATGACGAATTATTTAAGAAAGAGCATTGGACAAGATCGGCGTCGACATAATATTAATTTCAACAAAAGACAAGGCAACATCAAACTTGACTTTGAGTGAAGTTATAGACGAATCTGCAAAAAATAAAGAATTTGTCGGGAAATTTTTTAATTTTTTATTCGTTTATTGATGTCATAAAATTTTATGGTGCTCATCTCTGCACTTAAGATGAAACATTAAAATTTGTAGAAAATAGGTCGAAAATTTTCTCGCCATAAGGGGAATCGAACCCGTCTTTCGGATTCTTTTGTCTACAAATAAATATTTCGATTGTACAATAAACAGTCATACTGTCATGTGCAGCTTTGTTTATTTATTCCCATTATCCTTCATTAAACACACAGGGATTCTAGCCCTTAAATATAGTTTCTAGAAGGAATAAATTCATGCCACTATATTCTCTTCTTATAACCTATCTATAAGTTTGACGAACAGTCGGTCAATATAAGTACTAGTTAAGAAAAAGGGAATGGAGGAGGCGCTTCTTTCTCTATGCACTGGGGTCCTAGTCTACCTAGCGACGCCACTGCCATATAGCCATTGCTCTGACGACGAATTTATTCCTTTACATAGCAGCGGCAAACGCAATTGGGAAAAGTATGGACGGATCACCTCGAATATCCGATGCTCCAAACTGTATGACTAATATATATTGGAGACATGCTAACACAAGGGCGCTTTCGCCCATCATATGAGGACGTAATCGCGCCATCCAGCTGTATCCATGGACATATACTGTCTGAGCCGATATTAGGCCACATTTCCCGGGGGGACGGGAACCCCCTGATACAATCCCCGGGTCATGTGGTTAAATTCCCAGACACCCGCGGATGACTCAGTGTGTGAGAAAGATATGGCGGCGGAATTGAAAGACGCTGCACAATTGCTCCTAGCAGAAAAACTAATAAGGAAACCACAAAACGGGTCTATGTGGCTTCTAAACGAAAATGTAGGGTTAAATCGTCTCCCATTTTAGTCATCCTTTCAAAACTTAATGTAATGACAATCATCAAAATAGTTTTTAAATTATACAATACATGAGTATTTATAAACAATTAAAAATTATAGTTGAAAAATGTAATTGAAAATGCATTTATCTCGCTAGACTATCCATAAGTTTTTAATTACGATTTTACTTACGCCATATTGAAACAAATTGGGAGTAACCCTGTCATTTTTGTTCAGAATGTAAACGATAGGTACTAGAAATTTTTAATGCTAGCCTGCTTTTTTTGTGTTCCACACAAGAAGGCAAAATTAATTTATATTTTAATTTTGTATTTTCTTTTTTTAGCTTTTGGTTTGGGTATAGAGAATCCGTGTGGCATGTTAGTTAAAAAGTTATTTACAACAGAGTTCTGTGTGCCACCGAGTAAAATGCTTGTAAGAAAAAGTTCACTTTTCTCAATTATGAAACGTTGTGCGCTTAATTTCATGAAGGATCTTATTTTCAGCAATGATTTTCGACACATGCCTACTGTGCAGTTTACACTATGTTCAAATGGATCTTGTAGACAGATACCGTTATTTAATTTCAATGGTGGACAGATCTGCCTTTTTACATTAATTTGATACAAATTGTATTCTGGTGGAACATTGTCAATAATTTGAAATGACTCTCTTTTAATTGGACGTCCCAAATACGGACAAATGACGAAATTGGCGTAATTAAAATCATAATAATACTTAAAAAATCCGCCCAGTAATTGATACAAAGATTCATTGTTT